ACCAGCCGCCCCTCAGGAGAAAAGTGTGCCAGTGCTTCCGTAAAGCTGGTGGGGGCAATTCTGCTCCATCCTAAAGGTTGGTAGGAGTCGGAATTGCCTGTTTGGGAGTGGCCCAGTGATGAAGTGCTTGGCTGCTAGAGCAAAGTGATGCAGTTCAAACTGGCCAGCCATGCCATAGAAGATGAAGTAGTCTGCTTCCATACAGGTGTGCAGCGTTGGAAACTCTATGGGGCAGTGCTTCCCTGTCTGACAGAGCTGCTGGGTTGGAATCAGTCACAGGTATCTTCAAGGTGCATCCTGGTGCAAAACTCTTAAGAAAATATCTCATGCAGCTGAGGAGAAACTGTGACCGACCTTTGCCCATACAATGAAACTCACCCCGCTACTGTCTTCCTTATCCCATTGAAACTCTCGGGAAGCTGCCAGCCTTCAGTGTAAAACTCACTGCTCTCAAACACTGGCTTGTGGTTGTTTAAAGGAAGGTACTCTGTCTTGTCCTTTTCTGTATTCTTAGAACTAAACATCTAGAGTCCCAAGAGCATAGTTGGCTATATGTTGGGCTGCCAACCGCAGGGTCAGCAGTTCAAACCCATGAGTCATTCCAAAGGAGAATGAGGAGGCCTCTGTTCCCCCAAAAGATGATATCCTCAGAAACCACAGGGGCAGTTCTTCTCTGTTCACTAGTGTTGCCACTGAGTCAGCATCAACTGGATGGGAGTGAGTTGAACACTTACCATGGTGCCTGGAGCAAAACACATTCTCAATAAATGTTTGTTTTTAAAAAATCAAAGAATCAATGAATATACACATACATAAATCTGTACCTTATAAATCAGAATGGTTTCATGCGTTTTTGCATCCTCGGCATTTACTTCTTTGTGGGAGCAGGACAGGAAAGGAAGGAAAGGGCAAAAGGCCAGGCATGTATTGAACGCAGAGCATGCTGGTCATATGGACGGTCATCAGGAAGGGCTATTTCCTGTGCTAAGATCATAGAAAAGGCAAGTTCTGTCCTATAAAGAGAAGACGTGTCCTTTCTGGGGAGAAAGTCCTCCCCATACTAGTTAGGATGAAAGCCAAGGGCTGAAGAACTCCAAGCAGGGGATAGGACCAGAAAGAGGCACAGACCTCTGACAGAAGGCCCGGAACAGATCCTGGGCTTTTGTATCGTCAGGGACACAAAGGCATTGGCATATGCCCTCTCTCATTTATTTCACAGCCCCACGGCTCTCTGTTCTGTAGAATCACTCCTGCTAAATCTGTCCAGGTATTATTTGTTGAGTGAATGACAAGAGGAATGAATAAATGCACACATGGAGAAATCAGCCATCATCCAGAGGAGGCTGTGAAACACCTTCCGGTAAGCACCTGCTGCTGTCCCTCCCTCTTGCCTGGCTCTCTGCAGCACACACCATTACAACTCCTGGCTGCTAGGGGGCAGGCTCCTCACTCCAAGGTCTCCACCAGAATCCAGAAGCCTGGCTCTGGTTCTCTGTTTGGCCACCTAGACTCTTCACTGCCTGGGGGCATCAGCCGTGCTTCTTGGTCTTCCAGGGCATGTTTCCCTTTTAACACGGGGCATCTTCTGATCTGTTGGCCATTCTGGTCTCCGGGTTTGCCTGTACTGTGAATAACCTAGCCCCTAAATTTTACCGTGCTAGGCCCCTACGTGAGGAGGGCAGGTGAAAAATGCTCAGGACAGGCTTCCAAGAGCAATAGCCAAGCCTGGACCAGGGGGCAAAGGATGGGTGGCACAGGCTGGGCCATATCAAGCCCAGGTGAGGAGTGTTTCTTAGCGGGCCCATGAAGCTCACAATCAGTTTGCCAGTTCTTGCAAGGTCACTTTCTGGCTGTTCTCTGCTTTGTTCCAGGTTTCTTGGTGGTGGTGAAAGATCAGTCAGATGTCTTTCAGATTCAAGAGAGTTTCGGCTTCTAATACTAGTCTCTTCCCAACTCCCATTACATGGCATTTTAATTACATGCTTGTATGTTTAACCCCTCTCCCCAAAGTCTCATTATTCCTTGTATCTCGCTAAGTTCCTAGGCTCAGAAAGCATCCATTCAGGGTTAACGGACTTAATGCATAAATGAACAAACCTGTATAGCACTTTAGATCTTTTATAAATTGAAGACCTCGAAAGGCAGAAGTTAATGAACCTACCAAGGTCACTGTCAATTATATGGGTGTGGGAACCAGAGTTAAAAGCCAGAACAGATTTTGTCTTAGCTGGTGGACTTAATGGTGTAGAAAAGAAGTTAACAGTAACTAAGCACCAGCATGCCAGCCCTTATGTTGTATCCCACGCGACTGTGAATTGGATACTATCACCCCATCGTAAAGATGAGAACATCAGGACATAGAGAGGTGTTCTCTACCAAATTTCTCCCTATTTTTCCTACCTGCTCACTTCTGCCTGGATGAAATTTCATCTTTCAGGCCTCAGTTTATATGTCATTCCCTTTAGGTGGAGTGAGAAGGAGTCCCTTCTCGCTGCTCCGCAGCCCACTGCGTGTTATCCCCGTGGTCACATTGATGTGTGATGCTAACATTGACTGTTGTCCTGCGTGCCTTCCTCATCCAACGGTGAGCACCTCATGGGCAGAGTCAAAAGCTGTATGACAAGTAGATTAAACTACTTATGATTTGGCAAAATGCTTGTCACCAATTTTGGAAGAGGAAAGGAAGGAAGGAAGGAAGAAAAGAAGAGTGGTGGTGGATATTTTTAAGGTCACAGAGCTGGGAAATGGGGACATTGGGATTCGAACTCAGGCCTTTACTCTAAAGCATACATTCTTCATGAAAAGAGCACCTCTCAAGGGTAGAGACCTTATACTATTTGTGTACAGATGGTAGGACTTCATATGTATTTGTGCCTCGAACTGATTTATGCTCAGTCAATCCAACTGTGACTTACACCAGGAAAGAGCCGCCTCCGGGTCCTAGAAAGATGGATTGGGAGAATCTGAAAAGATTCAGACACTGAAAGTATGGCTGAGGCCAAGTTGGTCCAGATACTAGAAGGAGTGTATGCTGATGCCAAATGCGGTTTATCTTACTGCCCCCGCGGTTTAAACTCAGCTCATAACCATGGGAAACAGGCAATTTCCCGGGAGTTCAGGTAAGCCCTCCCTCCCTACAGGGCATACAATGCAGACTGTAATGAAAATAGAAATCATTCCTGTGAAGAACATGAAACATTTTTCTTCTCTCCGTAAATTCCAGATTTCTGCCTGTCCCTGATGCCAAAACCAACACGGCTTTCACAACATTTTTACATTTAGGGTTTCTCTTCGAGACTGTTTTTATGAATCCATTTTAAAGTTGCAAACTACACGTGACCTTTCGTGCTGCTGTGAGCATAGCGCTAGGCTATGATTTGGAGAGGGGCCGAGGCCAAGGCAACGCTGGGGCGTGAAAAATCACTGATCTATGCCTAGAGATTGAGCTTTGCTTCTCCAAACGACTTTGAGTACTTCAACGCCACTGTCCTTCTCTGTGCCCAGGGCACTGGAAGACCTCAACTGGTTCCTCATGCCACCTGAGAATCTATTGAGACACCAGCTGGAGACAGACTTCAAGCAGTAAAAAAATAAAACGAAACTCACTGCTATCAAGTCAACGCTGACTCATAGTGCCCCCCCTGTGAGTTTCTGAGAATGTAATTGTTTACGGAAGTAGAAAACCCAGTCTTTCTCCCTTGGAGCTCTCCTTTGAACTGTTGAGCATTCGGGTGGCAGCCCAACACGTAACTACATCACCGCCAGGGCTCCTGTAAGTAGTACAAGGCACTCACAAATCTAAGTAAGGAGAGACTGTACCACTGCTGTGGAATGAGCCATTATATGGAAAATGTTATCTAGGTAACAGAGGCTTTCCTTCTTCAAAGAAAAATCGTGTCGGACTTCAACTTGAGGGCTAGAACTGGTGTTCCTAGGCCAGGCTGCTCCCAGTTTAAAGCAAGGCACACAGACTGAGGGTGACTAATCATTGGCGTTTGGGAGCTACGGAGCACCGTGGTGTGCTGCTGTTCTCCATACTGACTGACAGCGAAGGCTCCGAATTCTCAAGCCTTATGCTCAGAGAATGCTTCTGTCTTTTCCTCTCTGGTAAGCAGTCACTTCTGCCTACTGCTAGGCTGCCACTGGCTCTGTTTCTAACACACTTTAAAATATGAATACATGGTTTGTTAAAAGCACGTGCAACGGGAGCGCCTAGGACGTTCTTCTATAGCAAACTTAAGGTGTTCTGTGGCTATCTTTATAGGAACCTTCCTAAGGTCCTCCGATTCCCTGCTTAAAGGCTTTCAGTGCTTCCTGTTCCCGTCAAAAAGAGCTGACACTTCTGCCTAGTAGAGTTCTCAAGGCCTTCAGCCATTGCCCCCAACTACATTTGAAACAGCCCTGCTTAGTATGCTCCAGGTGTTTTCCTGTGCTCTGCTACGGCTGACCCCTGCCTTCTCCTGGGCTTCGAAACACCACCTACGGCTCAAGGTCCAGCTCCATCCTCAAGTCTTCCCTTATGCCCACAGCTACATAACCTCTCCCTCCTTTGACTTTTCATGTCCTCTGACTGGCATCTTTCCTGTGGCACTGATCACTTACTGATGTCCAGTAATATCGTTTTTAAGGGTCGTGTCTCGTGTTCTTTACGATCCTCAAATCTCTTTGCAGAGGGGTTCCCTATCATCCTTGGGGCCATCTCTCTTGCTGAAGGATGTCCTAAGACCAGTGATAAACACTTGGTCAGCTCCTGCCCTCCAAGCCTCATGTACCACTCTGTTCTACAGAGCAAAGCTGCCGAACACCTGAGGCTTCCTACCAGGGGCACTGTGGAAGGGGGCGACTCCTCCTCGGGGTGACTCTGCAGATGCGGAGCCAAGTTTCTCTTCTTCTCTAGCCTCGGGGACCTGGGCCTGCCTGTCCCCTTGCCCTCCTGGAAGAGGAGCAGCACAGAGCCTCTCAGCTGGGTGGGGTGGTAGGTGGCCTGCTGGGGCACTCACCGCTGCCAAGCCGTAGGAGCAGCACGTCTTGGAGCCGCCGATTGAGGTCTCGGAGCTCTTTCATTTCGGACACAAGTGCCCCGTACTCCTTGAGCTTCTTGGCCTGCTGGACCAGCTGCCTCCGAGTCCGCTCCAGCTCCTGCTGGAGGTGCCGCATCTCCTCCTGCTGCTGCTGGTAGCTGCGCAGCAGCTCCTCGTACAGGGCCCGGGGCACGACGGCCTCCTCCAGACTGTCCATGTCGTCCGTGCCCGGGGAGGTCTCCACGAAGACTTCTTCGAGACACGTGCTGTGGCCCAGGCTCAGGCCGTTCTGCTTCTCCAGCCGGGCCACCACTGCCTCGATGCTCTTGTGCGGCCCCTCACTTGGCTTCCGCCCCTCAGGCCTCTGTGTAGGACAACGAGAATCAGTTCAGGCAAGGGCAGCTGGGATTTCCTTGGGCTGCGGCTCAATATTTCCCCAGACAATCCTAGAATCACAGAACCACAGAACATCAGTGCTTGGAGAAACCAGTGTGTACACGTAGTCAAAGCCCTTCACTTTAGAAACGGGGTTGCATGTGGAGGCCCAGGGTGGGGAAAGGGCTTGCCCAAAGTCCCCCAGCATGCTGCAACCCCAGAGTCCCCCAATGGGCTGCCACTTTTGGCACTGCACCCCGCAGCCTCCGGGATGTAAGTGATACTGGGCCATCCTCTTCAGCGTCCCTGCCCACCTTGCCTGGTCAATGCCTTGCTCAGCCAGGCTGGTCAGTGTGTTTTTGTGCAGAATCAGGGAGAAGTCTGGGCAGCCCAAGCTGTTCCCAAGGGAGTTCCCAGTCAAATCCCTTCAAACACAAGGAAGAAAAAAAGTACTTCTCTAAAGAACCATTTCCTCAAGAATGCGTTTATAGTTAGGAAGGATGTTACAAACTCCAATCTACTCTAATCGAGGGCAAGGGTCACATCTTACTTTCTCTGTGTCTCTATTGAGGGCTGGCAAATGGCTGGGGCTCAAAAGTGGCAAACTCAAGCGAGAAGGTCAAAGACTATATGAGCAGTTCTTCTTGTTTAATGCCCTCATTTGACAAATAAAGAAACAAGGGCTCAGAGTAGTGAAGGACTAAGCTCAGTGAGCTACGGACAAAGCAAGAGCCAGAACCTGGAGCCCAACATCCAGCACAAGGCTCCTTTCCCCCTCATCTGCCAGTCTAGGCTTGGACTCTGGTCAAGTTCAGCAAGCGGTGTATACTGAGAGGACAGTTCATAGAAGAGAATTATATAGGACTAGCTGGGGGTTGAGGGTTCAGCTGCCTGAGAAAACTCTGGTTCAGGGGGCTGTGGACGTTATAGAACCAATTTAATTCCTCACCCAGGACAAGGAGGGTTAGGGTCTGTCCCACTTGAGGGCACTTCTGGGAGGTGCAGAAAATTAAGGAAATAAGGTTCTAGACAACCGAACTGTGTCCTGCCTTCACTCATTAAGGTTCTGGAGCTTGCAGAGGAAAGTCCTTTTTAGTGACTTTAAGATGTGCATTACACAACCAAACTCAATGTCGTTTCAGCCCCGGAAAAAGGTGCTCCTAGCCTGCTCAGCTGGTATCTGGATGGTTGGTGATTGGCGTCTATTTAGAGGTATCTGGGAAGAAAGACATGGTGCTCTATTTCCAAAAAGTTAACCACTGAGCGCAGCTCTCTTTTGACCCTTGTAGGGTCACCATGAGTTGGGGGCAACTTAATGGCAGCTGTCTTTTTGTTTTCTGTCTAAATGACCTTATAGGCTAAAATTATAATGATCACTTTACAAGTCTTTATTCATCACTATGAGGAACCCTACCTCCGACCCACCACCACCCCACACACACACCTGAGGGCTGGGACCTCATCTGTCTCATCTCCGTGGCTCCAGAAACAAGCACAGGGCAAGGTCTCTAACAAGAGTACCAGGAAGCAAGGTTCATAAGGAGGATCCCTGAACTGAATGCAGCTACATCTTTTGGACCACACCTCACAATTGCCTTTGGCCTGTCTCAAATCAGTCCCTGAGCAATGCAAAAGACACTGTCTTTCTCCTCTTCCCTTGCTTCGCCTATAAGGTACCCACTGCAAAGAAAATAAGCACCTGGTTTGCTGAGCACCAGGTTCAGGAGGCAAACAAAGTGAAGACTGGAGGGGAGAGCCATGGGTGTATACTCATAAGTATCCATAAGAATGCAAATGTAACCTTATGCAAGACCTTCTCCCAACCCAAGGTCCTTCTTCTGTGAACCCGAACCAGCTCATTTCCCAAAGCATCTGCCCTTAGCTATTTGGGGCAATCTGATAGTGACAGGTTCTAAACTGCTGTGCAAGAACAGCTGCTTAATGTTCCTGGAATCCAGCAGTGACCTCTCCAGCACTGTGAGCCAGAGAGCAGCGCATAACCCCAAGCCCCAGCAGTGATGACAATCACTGCACAGACTGTGCTAATGGGGCAGTCGGTACTCCGTGGAACAGCCTGGGTCGAGGCTCCCTAGAAAGCTGGCCAGAAGGCAAGTACATACTAGCTGGCCCAGGACTATCTCATCCAGAAAAAACAAACAAAAAACCCCAGGCTTTTGATACCAGGGGACATTTATGTGGGGAGAGGAGGCCAAACTGGAATTCTTGAGTTATGAGAAATAAGAAAATGATCCCAATACTTCCAAAAAAAGAAAAGATTTTGTTACCTTGATGTGTCTGAGCTGTGAATCTTCTTCCCCATAGTCTTTAATTTCCCCATCTTCTTCGTGATTGAGAGAAAGTTTGGGGATTTTAATTTTCTTCTGCATCACACTGTTTTCAAGGTCAGATTTGTCTTCTAAAATGCATATCAAGAAAACAAGGTTCATTTTGAGTCAAAATGCTCAAAATGCCCATGACCTCAAAAGCTACAGTAGACCAGACCAGTTAAAAGGGAAAAGCAAATAAAGCTCAGGCCTACTCCCCTCCTGCATGCAGGGCTCCTAACAGCGGCAGTGCAGAGCAAACAACCACCATCAATGGGGCTTTCTAAAGGCACAGCCCCACAAATGGGTGGAAATAGCATCCAACGGATTTGCTTAAGGCTGTCTCTAAGTACATCTTAAAGAGTGTCCTTTTATGGAATTCTAGACTCAGAGAACAGGAATGGCACTGAGATTGTGATCTGTTCTACCTTCTTTGGCACATTGCTCAACAAGAGAGATTCTATCAAGCCAGGAAAGCCTAGTGGGTGTCTGCCAGCTCAGGTAGCACCAGGCATGAAAGGATGATGGCTCTTACCCCAAGATGGCCTAAGCTGGGATGCAAAGGCAGCTTCGGGAAGAATACTAAGTAATAGGAACTGCCTTTTTATCCGTATCAATTACGGAATGCCAGAGTGTAAGGGGTCTTGGTGGCCTACTGGGCTGGCTCTCTTAGAGAGTTGGAAAGTTAAACTCAGAGAACTGAAGGGCCACACTCGAAGTGTGAACCTGAGGAAGAGGCAGGACACATCTACCAGCCATTCCTGCGCCCGCCCAGACTTAACGGAGATCCAAAGGGGCCGTTCGACTCTGTTCCAGTGGGTGACTAGGAGTCAGAATCAACTCAATGGCAGTGGGGTTGGTTTTGGGGTATGTGGATATATGTTAAACCTATTTCCTGCAGGCCAGGTTTCTTTTCTTGCAATTTGTTAGACAAACCGAGACAGAGGTTTGTGAATGCACTATTCCATAACCAAAAGAAAAAAACAAACTCACTGCCATGGAGTTAATGCTGACTCATGGTGACCCTGCAGTGGGTTTCTAAGACTGTAACTCTTTCTGGGAATGGAAAGGCCAGTCCTCCTTCCATGGAGTGCCGGTGGTTTCAAACTGCTGACCATGTAGATCGCAGCCCAACACCTAACGACTACTCCATCAGGGCTCCTTAACTATTCCATAACATAGTCAAAACACCAAATATCCCCACATGGTATTTAGAATGGAGCCCCTGCTGGTGATACAGGGGACTCTGTTATCAGAAGGACTGACATGGGAACTCAGCTCTCCCCGGGACAGTGTGAGGTGGGGAGAGGATGGTCTCAGCCTCTCCCATCCTCAAGCCCCTCCACTGTCACAAACGATGCACACATGAGATCAACAATTCACACAACTCACTGCACAGTGGCTGGCACATTATAGGCACTTGTTAAATGGAACATTATAGTTGGGGCTATCAACATGTCACGATTCATTTTATTTCCTTAATCATAAGGTGAATGAAGACACAATTGAGAAACAAAACAAAAGGATGACTTAAGCAAGATATGGGATGTTGAGAAATTATCCTTGGAACAAAGGGTTGATCTTTGTTAACAATCCCTTCCTGGTCAAAAATGAAAATTGCCCTTCCCACTGAACAGGGCAGGAACCCCCAGGTTCAGTTTTCACAAGCATAGCCTGTTTTTGTCCTCTTTATGCTTATGAAATAATCCAATGGTTTAGGCATGAGCAATAGCAAGGCCTTTGGTCATCCGAACACAGCAAAGGTTTCTCTCCTACCAAATCACACTTGACTCTTTCTATGCCAAGACGCTGCTAGAAAGTAGCATGCTCCAAATAAAGTTACCCTCAACTAGCATGTGGGGGGTGGTGCAGGGAGTGGAAGGGGGGTAGGGTGGAGGGAGATGTCCACGCGCGCTCACTTGCACCGATGTATGTGTGAAGAGAAAGAATGAGACAGAGTGACAGAAAGAGAGAGAGGTGGGTAAGTGGGTGGCATTAGAATGACTATCAATTCTGACATGTTCAAGGCATAGGTCTGAGCTGTAGCTACCAAACTGGAAATGACAAACTATGTCCTACCTCCCTGAATTGAAACTGGCTCAGGATTTTGCTGCCCTAGAAGAAGGTAGGGAGAGGAGTTACCTTTCGACTCACAAAACTAGTTAATATTTGAACTAAGAGCAATTCTCAGATCATGTCATTTAACCCTTTAAAAAATGGAGATGCAAAACTTGAGGTTCCAAATGGTTGCTATGGGCATCTATCCTTGCGAATCGTCAGGTTCAGGGACACAAGGGAGCTGGGACCAGGCAGGGCCTTCATCTAATGAGCTCACCATTATTCAATGACGCAGAAGTCAGTGCCATGCCATGAACAGCCTGAGAACCAGAGTTTTTCCTCCCACGTTGCAGCGTAACATTTGTCAAGAATTTACCCTGTGTGGAATCTAGACAGGGCTCTGGGGACAGAGAATGATGAACAGCCAGACCTCTTGGAGGCCCCAAAGTTAAACCCATGAAGAGATAAGCTAAGGTCTCAACACTGAGTTTGAAATTATAGATAACTGATTTAGAACTTCAGGGACAAGGGAATCAACTTCAGCCATCAATATAACTATGGAACCTTGATACTTCTCTGACTCTACTTCCTCTTCTGCAACTTGAAGCAAATAGTTCTTACCCACAATGCCAGGATATGATGGAGACTGTCAATAATATATGTTAAAAAATGGAAACCGAAAAGAGTAAATGGCACTTGGACAATCAATGTTCATAAAAGGATAGTTGTTAGGGAAGAGAAGAATATGGACCACATGGGAGAGAGGAAGAACAGAAGCTAAATGAAGAAGGTTAGGGGAAGCCTGCATACGGACTGGTTCCCTGGTAGACAAGGGGGAGAGTGCAATGTGAATGGAACTGGCTGGGGTCACAGAAAAAGTGGTCTCGGATTCCACGCGAGTCAAAGCTGAGATCCAGCCTGCCAGTGTGGAAAGAATATTGAGTCAGACAACTTAGATTCTGTTTAGTTGATATGAGTCGTGGCGATATCCTCATGGGTCATTTTCCTCTTTCTGTAGAAATGGAGATAACAGATTGACCTCCAGTAGCAATCAAATCAGCCGAGTAGATAAATGTGCCTTGAAAACAAGAGAGACCTTTGAGGACAAACCCACGGTGGATGACAAAGCTCAGCGGGCAATAGCTGCTGGCCTGGGGCCTGCAGCAGGCCAGCTCCTTCAGGTGGAGCCCTGTCTAGTTGTACGTCTAGGGAGAGGCAACACTCAGCATGTTCCATTCTCCAGCTGCTGAGCCAGAGGTGCCATGCCCACCTGCTTTACCCGAGGCTCCAGTGTCTTCTGCCTAACTGGAGTGTGCCCTCTCTTTTTCCTTGTCTGCTTGAAAATTCCACTTAGGCTCCACTCATCTCATTCCTTCTCAAAGTTCCCATTACATGCTCTACAAACCTTCTTTGCTTTATATTATCTGGAAGGTCTACCTTCCCCACTAGTGTGTAAGCAATCTCAGGACTGGGCCCAAATGCTGGCCACACCCTAGGAACTCAGCAAGTAAAATGTTCACTGAAAAAAAAAAAAAAAAGATTACCTCCATAAGCCCATAAGATGATGTTATCGTCAGGGAAATGCAACTAAAAGCAAGAGTGGGTACCACTTCATGCCCATAGGATGGTTAAAATAAGAATAATAGAAGGAGCAAATGTTGGAGATGATGAGACAAGAGAGCCCTCAGACTTTGCTGGTGGGAATGCGAGCGTGGAAAAGAGTTGGGTGGTTCCTCCAAGAGTGAAATGCAGGATTACCACATGATCAGGAATTCTCGTCCTGGATCATCCACCCAAGAGGAATGAAAGCCTGTGTCTCCACAAGCACTTGGATAAGAATGCTCATACCTGCACTATTTATAATAGCCAAAGTGTGGTAACAACCCAAACACCCGCAACTGATAAGTGGATAAACAAAATGTGGACTATTACTCAGCAGCATTCACGAAGAGAAAAGAAGTGCTGCTACATGCTGCTCCACAGAAGACCCTGGAAAAAACAAGGCAGACACCAGAGAGCACGTTTATCTGGGAGACCTAGAAAAGCAAATCCACAGACAGACAGGAGCTCAGTCATTACCCAGGGCTGGGGGAAAGGGGAAAGGAGAGGGCTTGCTAACAGGTGATGGGGATTTCTGTTTGGGCAGGTGAACAATATGTTTGAAAATTCAAGAGTGGTAATGGGTGCACATTGTGGATATACTAAAAACCACCGAATCACACCCTTTAGTTGTGAGTTGTATGTTAAGTGATCTGTACCTCAATTTTTAAAAAAGGCTACCACTTGTGGAATGTCTCCTATGTATGACATACCATTATAAAGCTCTTCACAAATATTACTACGTATCTTTACAAACTTGTAAGTCAACCACACTTTTTTTCCCACAGAAGATATGAGGTTCAAAGAAGTAATGTCCCTTGCCTACAATCATCTAGCTAGAAAGAGCCAGAGCTATGGGTCTGCATCCCAAGTGCATGCCGTAACACTCTAAACATATGCTGAAGATGAGGGAGAGCCAGAATAAACGCTGAATGAATAAATGATGTCTCTAGATAAGAGGAGGATCCCTGATGGCATCATGGGGTTGGTTACTCATTGGGTTGATAACCACAAGGTCAGCAGTTCAAACCCACAGCTGTTCCATAGGGGAGACATGAAGCTTTCTGCCCCTGAAAAAGATTCATAATCTCAGAAACTCAAAGAGAACAATTCTGGTTTGCCCTATAGGCTTGCTACAAGTCAGAATTGACTCAAGAGTATTAAGTTTGGTTCTGGGGATGGATAAGGACTTCCAAAATCCCCTCTGAAGCACAAAGTAGAAGACCAGTTTATTTCTGTTTTCCAGTCGGGCTCCTTGGTCATCAAGAATTCCCCAGAAAGCGGTAGCCATAGGCATGCACAGCCTAGAAACCTGTGGTTTCCAGTCTTCAGGGCTTGAATGGGTTCTCTCAAAAGGTCAACAGTCAAACTCAAACCCATTGCCATGGTGTCCATACTGACTCATAGCCACCCCCTGAGACCATAGCTGTTTAAG